TCACTGAGAGGGCGGTCAAGCATTGGAACAGGCTGCCCAGGGAAGTGCTGGAATCACCATCCCTGAATATGTTCATAATCCATGTAAATGTGGCACTTGAGGACAGGGTGAACACGATAGTGCTGGGTTAGCAGTTGGACCTGTTGGTCTTAGAAGTCTTTTTCAACCTTAACAATTCCATGGTTCTGTAAGACGGGTGTCACCCAACAACAAAGAAAATGCTGTATAATTTGCATTTGGATTTTGTAGGTGAGCTCAGATTTGTGAAGCACAGAAGAGGCTTATAGCAAAGAGTGATTAATTTTCCATTATGTGTTGGCAAAAAAAAAAAAAAAAAGTGAAGGAGACCTGGAGTAAATATGTTTCTAAGGAGAAGTTACACACACACACAAAAAAAAAAAAATCCAACCCCAAAACAATAAAATAAGGCAACTGAATGAAGAATAAAATTGTGTTTGATGCCAAAAAGAGAAGGAAAAAGAACTGGATAAAAAAAGACTTGGAGAAGATAAAAATCAATAAACTGAGAAAACCAGTGCATGAGAGGTCTGGGGAGACAACTTTTAAGGAAAAATAGAAAAGAAAAATGGATATTGCCTAAAGAAGCACCATTAAGAGTAAAAACACGAACTATTCCATGACAGAGAAGTGATAGAAAATGTAATATAAGTCCCACTGGGCTAAATCATGAGCTCTTCACTTCCTCCAGCACATGACAGGGACATACAGATTGTGGATACCAAGTCAAATAGCTGAGGAAAGTTATCATCAACATCAAAGATTTCACAAAGTCAGAAAGAGCAAGTCACAAAGATATCACAGGTGTTACAGCTATTAGAGGAGAACCAAGGAAAGCATTATCTTCTCATCAGAGAAGAAAAGCTATGACAAACTGATGTCAAGAAGCGTAGACCAAGAATTACAATTTCCAAGTTAGGAAACTGAGCTTTCACTGAACTGGAAAATACCCTCTGGATATTTGCCCCATTTCCAAAGTCTGTAGTAAAATTGTTTACTTTCTTCATTTCAATCCTGCTGTTGAAATGTGAAATTTTAAACAAATATTGTTCATATTCTGAAGTTACATTCCAATTTATGAGGCTCTAAACATAACTATTTGTCACCTTTTTTTTCCATATTCAGTGAAGAGAAAGAGAATAAAGAACTGTTCAGTGGCATCACAACACCTGCTATTTCCAGAAGATAAATTGTTGCCAGATTAATCAGAAAGCAGACATCATCATTATTACAGAGACTGCCCTATGAACATTGTGAGTGAAAATCCACACAATAAACAGGAGCATTTTCATCTATAATCACATCTGGTGCTAAAAAGCTCAAGTGACATTCAGTCAACTGTGCATTTCACTAAACAGTCAATCTGAAACAGCAGTGTCATGCTCCCAGCCTTTTTTTTAATTTTTTTTTGTGACAATGTGCAAATAACTCAGTCCAATTCCCATTGCCTTTTAGTAACTCTCACAATGATTATTCAACAAACAGTCAGCATTTTCCTAGACATTTTGACAAGGCCACAGAAGAATGTGGAGAAGTTTGCAGACTAAAAAACTTGCCTTGCTTAAATTTGCTTTCAGTGCAAATAAAAACAGCATAGGGTCACCAAAATTGTTCTTGCAATTAAGGGGGAAAAAAGCACAGTAAATATACTCATAAAAACATCCTCAAGTTACTTACTTTCCAGACCAAGTTCCTATCCAAGACCAATCACAAAATTTGAATTGTTCTTTGGGTTACACCAAGATTCCTATCCCATACAAAAGCAGCATGACAGAAAATGCTTCAGTGATAGACTCAACAGATGAGCTGCAAAATTACATCCAGGTGGGGAAAAGGGCACTTTCCCAACAACCAGTGTGGGAGAATCCATCTGGGGCAGGAGCTGGCAGCCACCAGTGCCTGTAGGCAGCTTTGAGGCAGTGCAGGGGGGGCTGCAGCACCCACCCTGCTGCCCTGGCCCACAGTCCTGCTCCTGGGAAGGAGACAGGGAGTTGGCAGAAGCAGATGTAGCTGCAAACCCAGCTCGAGCCTCTCTGACAGAGAAGGAGCTAAAGCCCTGGTGAGCCACTGGGGCACTGCCAGGTCTTTCCCTGCCTTCTCTCATCCCCCTGAAGTGTGTGTGGCACAACTTTCAGCCCTGTGGCGTGCAGCTCATCAGACCAAGAAGCAGAACATCGCTGCTCTGGTGCTGGCAGGCAGAGAGGAAACCACCAAAGCCCACACCAAGAGCTCACCGTGTGACAAAAACCTGTCCTTCACCTATCACTGCCAACAGTGAAGGTACCCACTGACAGGCAGTGAGAATGGAAACAGTAATTAGTCACACTTTTAAGTATTAAGCTGCAATGACCCAACATCTTGCTTGCTCTCTTAGTCTTGTTCTCTCTGTCAGCCCCTTTTGCCAGTCTCTCCTTTTTTTCTCTCTCTGCTTCTGTGCAAAATCATTCAACTCAGAAATATCTGTCTTATCCCAAGCACCAAGGCCTTCCCTTCCAAGTAAATACATGGGCCCCTACTCAGCTAATCCTCTTTTCCTCCTTCCAAAGGCTGTCAGCAGGGCTGACAGACCCACTAGAATTGTTATCACCTGTTGGCAGCTTGAATGTAATACATACTCCTGTGGTCAGCAGCTCCAGTGAATTGCAGACAGCTGAAAAAGAAGCCAACTCCATGTCTGAACCAACTGCCACTTGTGCTGGTGTTATAACACATACAAAAGGTGAGCAGAAAATTAAGTGAGCTTGTTCAATGACTAGGCTCTGCCTAGAAGCCTTGTTCATGTCCCAGCCTTTCTTAAAACCACCCCCACTAGCCACATTGTTCTCTTTGGCCTAATAGGTTTTATTAATCATGCGCAACAAGCTTGAAAAGGATGAGGGCAAATTTTATTGCAGAAGGAAGATACAACAATTAGACAGCTGAAACCTTTGACATGTGGGTTTGCCTGAGCTCTGGGTTGATAACTCGAGCTTTTTGTTGGCAGTAAACTGGTTATAATCAAAGTCTGACTACGATGTTGCGAGCTAATTTTCTGAGGAGTTGCAGCAGGACTGGCTCTTGGGCCATCCCAGAAATAAGAAATCAGGCAAACAGTAGTCCACATGGCTGTTAAGAGCTGTGGAACCACCAGCAAAGCCCATTTCACCAAGCACCTGCTGCACAAATGGACCTCTCTCATTGCCAGAGCACCTCGTTTCAGCAAACTGTCTGCTCAGAATTTCTAGCTTAATGGAAATGCTGACACATTGCAGGTGACTGGACAAATTCCACCAAATACAAAATAAAAGGGGGGGGGAAGTCATGAGCATGGAAACCATAATTTTCAGCCAGGGCCGTTTGTGACAGGGATGCTTCTCCAGAGGGCTTTCCCCACACACACCATCATCTCCCTATTTTTTCTGCCTCTTCAACATTTCATTTGGAGCAAAGGAATTATGAAAACTTCTTGCATTACACCCTAATAATCACAACACACATGCACCTTGATTGCCAAAATCAGACTGCTACACAGCCTAGTTCTGCCTAATTCTCTTCATTTTAACAGCCCTGTCATCTTTTGGTCTGGCTGCAGTGGTCCAGCTTCCGAATGAGACAGGCCCAAATTGCTGTAGTTGTCTGCAAGAACAATCCTTTGCTCACTTGCCACACTGAACAACACCAGCTTAGGAACCCAGTTTTGGACCCAACTGGGCAATGCACTAAGCAACAAGAGATTTTCCCCTGATTTCAGAAGCTTCCAGTCACAACAGAAGCCTTGACAGCACCCTGACTGTGAAAGACCCCAGCTGAAAGGGAAGACAGAAGAGGATGCTGGATCATGCTCATGATGCACTGTCAGCTGTGAGCCAGCAGAACTGGGAAAGCACTTCCTTGGACAAAGGTCCTGCTGTGGATTTCACTAGAGCTCCAAAACGCTTTTCCTACCTAGAATCACTGAAAGCAAGTTTCCACTAATTCCAAGCCATCTGTCACTTATTTCTCCCAGAGATTTTACGCATGAAAAGGTGCTTCTCTTTCCCCATGGAAGGCTCAAGGGAGCAGGACAATGCTCTGAGAGTGGCCCATCACTGGCATTTAACACCACAAGGAAGGTTTCACTCGGTTACCAGGCACAGTACCCAGCTTGCCTTCTCCAGGCCCTTTTTCCTTAAGGCAGAGAGTCACTTCTGCACTCCTTTCTGACTAGAGGGAAAGGCTGGAATGATGCCAGTAGGTGCCCACCCATGGCTATTTAGAAGTGATGAAGTGAAGTGCAATCAAAAGGCACTGGGAGATCTTCAAGCCTGAGGACACAGAGGTGACTTCCTGCAGCAATGAGCAAGGCAAAGGCACTGCAAAGCACACATCTGAGCACAGTCACTGGTGCATTAGTGTTTGGAAGGTTTGACAAATCTGACCAACGAAAACTGAAATAAACAACCAGTCTGTGTGGGTTTTTTTCAGCTTGGGGACATGAGGATGAGAAGAAATAAATGGTTTGGTTAGGGCTGGGGGGTTTTTCCTTTGTTTTAAACATGCACACCACCCGCATTTTACCCAACTTAACACCCTTGTTCTCAGTAAAACCGTGGTGTGATCTCAGCTTCTCGGAAACTGGTCAAAAAGTGTTCACCCAAATAGCCACAGAAATCCTTTAGGTAAGTATTTGCACATTTCCTTTAAAAAGAATCTTCAAAAATTGTCCATCGTTATTTCTCATTTCCATATCCAGTAGCGTTTCAAATTGGTTTTTTCCCCATCAACTAGCAATGCAAACAGAAAGCTTAATTGAAAAAGAAATACATTAAAAAATAAACAGAGATGACAAATATCAGATTGTCATCTGCCACATGCAACTATCTACTCTGAAAAAAAAAAAAAAAAAAAAAGACAAACCAAAAATGCCCTCAAAACAAATCATAAACTCTCTTATTTCTGTGGTTCTTCTGCATGTGTTTCTTTGACCTTCTATGTTTTAGGGTCCCCCGTGTCTCTTTGTGTTGGTTTCCAACACAAAAGTGCAAAGAGAATCCAGTTGCTAAAATGGAAACATAGTGCTATATTTTCACCAGCACACTGTTCCTCTGGCACAGATACACATCAGTTATTGTTTTGAGGAAAGGCAGCACGTACCTCAGAGTCCATTTTCTAACAAAATTCAGGTAGGTGTTTTCCCAAGTCAGTCTTTAAAAGTTTTATCTGTTTCAATAGCTGTACTGATACACTGAGAAAGAGAAAAACAACGTGCTAAAATGGGTTTTTCTCCCCCACCGTCAGGAAAGACAAAGGCTTTCCTTTGTGGGTAAGGTCTGAGGTTTATTAGTTGAAGTTCAAGTAGCTGGGTATCATTACTAGCTGAGCTGGAATCAGACTACTTATGCCTGCACTGGTATTGGTTCATATATATGGATCCTGGATAGTAGTTCTCGTAGGTACTCTCTGGTAAGAAATCTGAGGGTGTGGACTTGAAGTTTCTAGTCTGCAATAGAAAGAAGAACATGTACCATTACATTACACTGTAGGATTTTGTGGAATCATCATTCCTATGGAGTCCAAACAAAACAAAAAAAGCAAGAGCTGAAGAAACCTGGTAGGTAATGTTATTTTTGCAAAAGAACTGTGAAGTTACTTCTCTGAACTCTCTGAGCCAAAGGGTAGGGAACAAAGGGTGAAACCTGAACTGGCAGAGAGATGCAAGAACAGCCTTCACAAAGCCTAGACAGGACAGCCTTTGAAAATTGTTTTCTTAATGTGATCGAAAACAAATTTTGAAATGTTGGTATCTTTACCAAAATAGATGATAATGAGCAATGCCAGCTTCTCTGGCAAAAAACAAACAAACAACAAACCAACCAACCAACCAACCAAACAGGCAGACCACAAAGCAATCCAATTCAGGCAACTAAAATTACTATAAGCCTTTGACTTTGATTTCTATAACTCCCACGCCCGTCAGTCAAATTGTCCTGAAAGCCACAGAAGAGCTTATCAGGAAGTTAATTCCAACTTCAGAGCACTCTGACTTGTTTGCAACAAACAAGGCACACGACCATTAATTAAACCGTGCACAGAAAACAAAATATGAAATAATTGCTCTTTCAATGTGCATTAAGTGAGGCAGAAGCCCTGAGGAAAGAGCAGCATATTCTGTTAAATATGTATCATGACACACTGGAATTAGAGAGAAAGGAAAATTTGCAGTGGCAAACTTCTCACTGCTGTTTCCTAGCTCCTGGGTATTTGAACTGCAACTTCAAAAAGTAAAAGTTTCATAACTGTGTTTGTCTCTAGCACAGCAAAACTAAGTGGATCCTTTTCCCTCATTGTAAAATGCATGTCTGGTTTCATCTGATCTTTAATCAAGCAGGTTTCTGCTGTCAAGAGTAAACACACATTCTTAAGTTAAGGTTACTCTGTGAAGCAGAAATATGAAAACACTAAGTTTTGGGACAGCTGACATTCAGCACAGTAAATGTAATCTATAGGCAGGAAATGCACTACACCTAGTGCTTAAACAATCACTCAGATACCCTGATTATACATGAAGACAGGGCCATCCAAGCAACAAACATCCTCCCAGATGCAGTGTTCCTCATCCCCCCCCTCAAAGTGCACACAGACACAAATGGGAGTCTTGTCAGAGTAGACACATTGCGATTAAATGACACATTTTAGTGAAGAATACACCAAAAACAGCAAAGCACACACACACACACACAAGAAGGCCACTTACTGCAGATGGTTCTGCTGGCCCCTGTGCCAATTGTCGTAACCGGGAAGCTGAAAGAAGAATGTCAGGAAATTAAAGTGGTTTGATGGTGCCAGGTACACAGGCTGCTCTATCAGGGGTTCTCCTCTAGCTGTCCTTGGCTGTTGAAAGACTTTCTTCAAAATATACTCATAGGTTAAGTTCTTATTTTTTGTATCCTGCTCTTGAATACACTGTTGTTTCATTTTTCCCCTCATAGAAACTTCTGGTCACTCTGGGTGTCCTGGTTTCTACCGGAATAGAGTTCATTTTCTTTTTAGTAGCTGGTACAGTGCCATAGGAGAAATGTGTTGATGACACACTGGTGTTTCAGTTGTTACTAAGTAGTGTTTACCCCAAGCCAAGGACTTTTCAGCTTCCCATGCATTGCCAGCGTGGAGGGTCACAAGAAGCTGGGAGGGAGCATGGCCAGGACAGCTGACCTGAACTGGCCAAAGGGATATTCCACTCCACAGAAAGCCATGCTCAGTACATAAACCAGGGAGAGTTGGCCAAGAGCCACCAATCACTGCTCAGGGGTGGACTGGGCATCCATCAGTGGATGGTGAGGCTACATCATACACTTCTTGTTTCTCTCAGGTTTTCTTTCCTTCTCTCTCTCTCTCATTTTCACCACAGCTTTTATTAATATTGCTACAATTATCATTAGTATCATCATTAGTATTAGTAGTACTGTTATATTTGATTTTGTTTTATTTATTTATTTATTTATTTTATTAAACCCTTCTTATCTCAATCCATGGGGTTTACTTTTTCTCCTCTGGTTCTCCTCTCCACTGTGGTGGGGTGGGGAGGAGCGAGTGAGGGGCTGCAGAGCACTTAGTTGTTAAACCACAGCACTGGGACACATGACAGGTTTGACTCTGTTAAGTGCACTTTTCCTCAGCTCTGCAGAGATACACTGGGCCAAGGAACCCATCTGAGCATGTTTTTTCTTCCCCTCACCTGCTCCAAAGACACACACATCACCCTGTGGCAGGGACGGGCTCCCATCAAAGTTCTGCCACTGTTGATGACAACTGCCCCTCTGTTTTCTTCTCCTGTCTTCATTTTTCTCACCTTCCCTTTTTTTCTCTTTTAGTGCACACCTCCAATCACTGTCCTCTCTTGCCAGCCCTCTTTCACCATATTTGTTCAGGCCTGGTTCATGAAATAAATCTGCTATGTAACATGCCCTGTGCAGGGGGAATCATCTGAAAGATACTGAAGCAGCTACATTTGGCCTATTCTTACACTTGCTGGTGTAAACAGAACTTCTTTGTGTCTAGTTGGTGAACTGCCATTCTTATGTGCAGAATTTTATGCCAGTAAACGCAGATCAAGATAATTCTAAAAACTCAAAACTCACCCTACTCTCAGAAAGAACCCTTTTCATCCTGGATGACTCTCTGACATATATGTAACACATCAATATCATAACACCTATGGCTCTTACAAAACTTGTTTTAAGGTTCCAGCCCTTATTTTATTAGAACTTTTCCAAAAGGACAATGCATCATATATGGACATTTTCCTCAAGGCTTGCCTCCCACCCCACTCTCATGTGACAAAGCACAAGTCCTTGTACCTGCACCAAGTCAGCAATGGAATTGTAACACGCTTCAGGTTCATCAAAGGACTTACCTCTGCACCAGAAAATCAAGCATAAAGTCACACCAGTGACAGCAGCAACACTTGCAGATCCTCCTATCAGGAGATAGGGAAGGCTGGGGGAAGCATCTGGGAGATGAGAGATGAGAGCAAGTTACAGAGCTAGGCATCAGCATCCACTGACTACATGCTGTTACCATCCACCTTAACCCCAGGAAAAAGCTTATCCTCTGCCTCCACAGCTCAAAGGGAGCAGAGAGAAACAGATGAGCTCTCTGGATGCCAACCAGCAATAGGAAGCTACCCCACACACCCAGTCATTTGTGTGTGCAAACACGTTTTCATTTTCAACTCATCTGCCTTCAAGGTCTCCTTTTCTTCAACTATCAGTAGCCCTGCAGCAAAAGAACTGACCAGCTGTCCCTGGCAAATGCTGTTATTAATGACTTGTCTATGCTGGCTTCTGTCCTTCGTGCCTCTATTGAGATATTTTGGTGATATGAGCTGTTCTTACAAATCCTCATGCAATAGAGACTTCAAATAGCTCCAGAACAGCCAGCTGAGAAGCTGAATTTTACCCTGAATTTACCCTCTGGCCCTCGGAAAGAACATTTGAAAGTCACAGTAGACATTCTCCAAGGAAATTTTCTCCAAACTATTACACTGGACAAAATTCAGCTTCAGTTTGTGAAGAACTGCAGCCCACGGGAAGGACTCATTGGAGAAGTTCATGGACTGCCTGCTGTGGGTGGGACCCCACACTGGAGCAGGGGAAAAGAACGAGGAGGAAGCAGCAGCAGAGATGAAGTGTTAAGAACTGACCACAGCCTGCATCCCCCTATACAACTCAGGGGGAGGAGACAGAGAAGTTGGAAGTGAAGTTGAGCCTGGGAAGAAGGGGAAGGTTGTGAGGAAGATTTTTTTATATTTGTTCTTGTTTCTCACTATCCCGCTCTGATCTGATTATCCATAAATTAAATTAATTTCTCTCAAGTCCATTTTGCCTGCGACATTAATTGGGAGTGATCTCTTCCTGTCCTTATCTCAACCCATGAGCTTTCCATAGTACTTTTTTTCCCTGTCTTGTTGAGAAGTGGGAGTAATCAAGCAGCTTGGTGGACACCTGGCAGCCAGCCAGCCAGCCAAGGTCTACTGTCTAGAGACAGAATGAGGAATTCTTGTAAAACAGAACAGGGATAGAAAGAAGCACGCACTGAAAGTTTCTCCACACGGTGCCACAAAACATTGGGGTTCAACTAACTCAAAATTATTAATTTCTCTCCCAACGTGCACTAGAACTCTGGCTTACAACTAAGCAAACCACAGAGCCTCGGCTTTCCTTCTGTGGGAACAGCTGCACAGAGCAGCACAGAGGAGCCCAAGGGCAGGATGAAGGGCATTTATGACAGTACTCACTCGTCAGGTCTATGGACAGGGTGTGGTTTGAGGCTGGGTGGGTCACCAGGCAGGTGGCAGTGGGCAGCGTGCTGTTGGCCCAGCCTGTGTAGCTCACCCTGGTCACCGTCCCGTTGGCGTGCTGGATTTCTTCCTCAGTGCTGGCGTTGCTTGCCGGGATCCAGGAGATGCCAGCAGCCGGCTTTCCCGCAGACGCCCGGCAGACGGCCCCCCTGCTCTTGTCGTAGGTCAGAGTCGCTCTAGGAGGGACTACAGAAGGAATAAATAATTTAACAACAACAACAACAAAAAAAAAAAAAAAAAGCCACAGCCATTATTTCTAGTTCGGTATAAAATCGCCAACTGAAACCAAAAAGCGAGAGGTATTTTTCTTTTTGTTTGTTTGTGCGACCAATTCGTGAGATTTTAAAATAATTTGAAATATTAGGACGAGCTGTCTTCAGAGGAAAAAAAAGTTCAAGGTGAATACATCAAAAACTAGCTACCTGGATCTAAAATACTGCTTCCTCCCATTTTTCAGACTAACAGGAGATGAGATGACACAGAGGGGTGGATTAAATCAAGATTTATAAGTACAGTGGTGCACATTCTAAAGAAAACGCAGCTTGCTGAAGCTCCAGGTAAAACATTTAGGAGATTGGATATGTAGAATCAAAAATTTGATAACAGGGAAATAAAAGAGGAATCGGGCAAAACTGTTCTGCTTGAAGTCCAACAACTCGTATTCTGCATTTGACAGAACAGGGAAGGGCTCACACACCACCTAAGCCTTTATCTGAAAGGTAAGACTCTGCAGGGAAGAACAAAATAAAAGCAAACCCAAAACCAAACTGAAATAATAAAAAAACCTCCAACCAACCAAAAAATACCCCCCAAAAAAATCAAGTGACTAAAATTAATAGTAGTAATTGTAGAGTTCCAAAATTCATTTCCCGTGATTTTTAGTTATATTCAGAAGGCTTAACTAAAATGTCCAGAACATAAAATCTTCTCCAATGTTTTGTTGGTTTTTTTTTTAACTTATGGAAACCTATGGATAGTTTACCTCACCATCTGAAAAAGATGTTTTAATGTATTCATTATGTTTCCTAATATTCTTTTGTTCCTGCCTATGTTGAAAATAGGCTAACTTTTTTAATAACTTAAATTTTTTAATAATTTTTATTTTAATGGTACAGTCTTACCCATGACAGTCAGAGAAGAGGAAAAATAAAAATTCCCTTCGCTGTTGACAATTTCACAGCTGTAATTTCCCTCATCACTAAGGTTCACGGGGTAAATACGAAGGGCAGGGTCACTGTCAGGTGAATATTTCCACATGATCCTCTCAGTGCAGTTTGTCTTCCCTGTCTCATTGTGATCACTTCTGTAGGCCAACACGCAGCAACTGCTGCATTTCTTCTTCCATGTCACCATCAGCAAAGACACGTTGAAGATGTAAGGGCAGCTCAGCACAGCCTCATGACCAGCCTCCACACTCACCGTGTTGGAAGCTACACAAGAAGAAAAAAAGACATAAAGAAAGATGCTGCACCACCATCAAAGCACAGGAAACTGTTGGTTTCATCACACCATTAAAAATTTCTACTCCCTCACTGTACTGGCAGCCTTGGGGACAAATTGCTGTGTGTGGGCACATATTAGTATTCACTTTCCAGGTCCAGTTTCCTGAAGTCTGGAAATGCAGTGGAGATGGTACCTTTCTGCAGGCATGTGATGAATGCAAAGGAGTCCTCCATCTTATTGTAGGCAACAAGTTTCTATCACTTTAACATAGTCTTTGAGAGACTGGTGATGGGGGGCGAAATTCCCTCTTGGGGGAAAGGAAACCACTTTTTTAAAAATTTCATTGTGTTACTGAGTTAGGTGCCTTTCTTAAAGTGCAGGTAAAACCGGGGACAGCTGTGGGATGTACACCTGTGACACAGTCAAAACCCAGGATCACTTGGTGCAGGTGGTTAGTAAGGGGGGCATGTAGATCCCTTTTCTACCAGTTGAACAGCAGATGTGTCTTCAGATGATTTGTGTTGGATTCCTGTCAGACATATCATCCTGTGCCACTCTGCAGGGCACACGATTATTTTGCCAGCTGAGGTGACATCACTCTTTGCATTCACGTCAAACAATAAGCAAAATTTGCTCTGGTGAACTACAAAGTTTTGGTGTACTTGCAAGTTAGAAATAGGGAGTGCTTGGATCGTTCTCACTTACCTTCAGTCAGATTGATTGGCAAGAAAAAGAGCACAGCCAGGACTGCCCATTTCTGAGACATCTTCAGGAGAAGGAGTCAGCACTGCAGAAAGTGAAGACAAAGAGCCACAAATGGAGCCACAAATTGTTGTGCAAATCTCTTCAAAGAGTACCTATAGTAAAACCTCTGTTTCCTTTGAAAACATAAGTTGTGAATAAGATGCCATGTCAAATATCCTTCTTGTACTGAGGAAAGTAAGGCAAAAAGGGGATTGAAAATTAAAAACAACAACAACAAAACACAAGTCACCCACTACTGTTTACAAATTTTTTTAAAAATCCAGGATCTCTTGTACCACTCAGGATCTAGACTTCATCAACTGTTGGGCAAAGGTATTATTCCTAACCCTTACAGGCTTTTAATTTCTTGAAAGTTAACTCTCCTTCTGCAGTAGAACAAAAAGAGCAACCTTCCTATTGCAAGAGATAAAAAACATGTGAGTTTGTTTCCTGCCTTCGTAGACACGGTGAACCAAAGAGGCATCCAGTAACTCATGCTGTTCTACAACTGTATATACCTTTTCAACAAACCATATCTTGCAAATTTCTAGCTCCTTTTTGACAAAATGGCACTGGTTCTTTGGTAAGACTGAGGCAGTGTTGTCATCCCAACACTATGTTTTCTGGTTCACACAAGAAAGCAGAACTCTGTGTTACCCAAAAGCTTTCCAAACGAAATATATATGGTTCTCAGTGGAGAGTTTTGATGTAAACTCATTCAGCTGTTTCTTGAACGTGGATTTGATTAAGAACATCACTGGTATTTTCCTGTGGTCAGATACCATACAGAAATGACCCCAGCTTGGCACGGCAAAGTTGCACTGCTCTGTACTGAACAACACACATATGTATTCCCAGCCAGCTGGGGGATAAAGCCCAGGCCTGGGAGTGTGTGCCTGTTCCCACAGCACTACAGTAGCCACAGCCTGACTTCAGTTTTCTGATGTTACTGTCAGAAATCAGTGGCTGCACTTTTGTCCTGGGGCTCCCTGCAGCCTGCCCATGAGGCTGTCTCATTTTCCATCACTCCCCTCCACATTCCCTCTAATTGTCTTCTTTGTAGACCTTTTGTCATCTCCCCTTCTTGCTGCCATTTCTATCTCTTTAATATTTTACTTTCTCAATCAGTCACCCACAGCTGGAGACGATTGGAAAATCGTGTTTCCATCCCAAGGGAAATACTGATACGCTGTTTTCATCCCCAAGTCAAAACCCAATATGCACCAGACAGGCAAATATCTTTGTGCAATCACAAGAGGACTTTACTTCTGAGTTATTTAGCTCACACAGTGTTTACACCCGTATTCAAACACAGGGATGGTTCTCAGCGTGTGCTGAGAGGAGAAGGAAAGGCAGCCAAGGCTCGCTGTGCACACAGAGACCTAAATCCTCATCTGGTGTCAACTGCTATAAAAATAACCAGCTCCAATTGTGGGGCACTAACAATTTCATTTTAAATGTGAAACATATCGGATGAGGATGCCTGGTGTACACAAGAAAAACCACAACACTGCCACGCTTGTGGCACAGGAAGAACAAAGGCTGCCACAGTCATGAGCTAAATGCAAGGGAAGGCAGTATTTCCTTAAACACAGTGCAGTATGTATGTACATTTAGACACAGAATCACAGAATGGTTTGGGTTGGAAGGGACCTTAAAGATCATTTAGTTCCATCCCCCTGCCATGGGAGGGGACACCTTCCACTGGACCAGGTTCCTCAGAGCTCCAACCAACCTGGCCTTGAACACTTCCAGGAATGGGGCATTCACAACTTCTCTGGGCAACCTGTGCCAGCAACTCACCACCCTCAACAGAATTGTTTTCCTCAAAGAATTGTGTTGTTCACAATTCTAATAACAGAGTAATACAACTGAATGAAAAGCTTACATTACAATCTGGAAAAAACACCAACACAGCCACATTGATCCGTATTCTGCTACTAATGAACAATAGACAGTGTAACTCATAGATGCAAAAAATCTCAAATTTAATTTTCATTCACATAAAATCTTTTCCACTAAGGAAATATTTTGTTTTGTTTCATTTTATTCAATGATGTCAGAAGTTTTGGGATTTTTTATTTTTTTTTGCATTTTGGATACATTATGCCTGCAAAAGTTGCTTTCAATCAAAGAAGTTTGAAACTTTGAAAGCTGAACTTTTTTAACCAAAAAAAAGACACATTTTGCCCAGAATTATGTACTGAGTTTGACCCAATTTGCAAATAATTTCTCAGTCTCTTTCAAAAGAAAAGTTAAAAAAACCCCAAACCCTCCACAATGTTTATCAGCAAATTCGGTATTCGTCAATTTTGATGGATCCATAAATATTCACAACAGTATATATTGTCATATTGGAACTTGTCCCAGAGAACTGTCTTTTTTTTAAAATGCATACAAGTCTCATATATAGGAGGCTTATTTACTCAAAAGAACAGGCTTTAATGATTAAAAATGGGACCTTACAGAAAGAATAGAGTGTATTACTCTGTTTAAATATTCATGTGTGAAACACAGAATTTAGTCTGCAGATTTTAAGGTTCACAATCCTTGAATACTTGTGCCTGAGAGTGAGAAAGAAGTCTCAGAGTAAAACCCAGAAAAGAAAAACCAAGCACAGCTGAATCAAATTCATTTAAAAGCAGCAAATGAATATTTGTAGCTTGTCTTGTGTTGTTCGCTTTGATGGAATTAAAATGCCTCAACAACTGCATTTAAAACAAATTAGAATTTTTACTCAGCCTCGATGGTGGTGGTTGGCACAAGACCATGCAACGTGTGCATCACTCTTCCATTAGCCTCAGCCTTCCAGCTGGAGAACGGCACCGCTCACGCTCGGATTCAACCCAGGGAGTACTGATGCTGGAGGAAAGTTACCCAGTTATCAGCCTGCAGAGGAGCCCTCCAGCCTCGGGAGCACAGGAATTCAACAGCAGTGCCAGTGTGCTCCAGGCATCCGACCCTTGCTGTATGAGGGAATGAGCAGGGAGATGCCGGCATACACAGTCGGTCCAGAGCGGATGTGGATACTGGTCCAATGTGGATACTGCTCCAGCGTGGATGCTGGTCCCAGTGACTGCTCACAAGGCAGCTCCTGTACAGCAGGGAATTGCAGAGATGTACCTGGAGGTCCCCTCCCTCTCTGTCCTCACTAGGGATCCAGATATAACTGCAAAGAAGTGAGAACTATCCCAATTTAGGACCATCCATCCCAGGTAATCCCTGTTTTCAGCTGTCCAGTTCATTGATTTCTTCTCACTGTTGCTCCTGAGATCTTGACATGCAGCTGATTTGTCTCACAGACGGACACAGCCTCCACGCCCTCCAAAAGAGCTGAGTTGTGCCCTCCCCTGAAGAGGATGTGGCACAGTTAAATTGAGGGAGACGAACTTCTGACACAAAGAACAAATCACAACCTCAGCTGCCTGCTCTTACACACCAAACACGAGCTACAAGCCTTGAGCTATGCAAGGCAACAACTTAAAACAAAGCACAAATAAAAGCTAAGTCCAACACAATTAAAATATATGTTAACACAGTACGAAAGAGGAGAAAGTCAGGGATCAATCAGTGCAGCAGTGCAGTGGTCATCACCACAACTTTCTAAAGCATGTATGTCACATATGTCACATAGCCATTCCCATTATTAACTCAGCAAAATATGGTTGTTTTGCAGTGGAAGCACATTTTAAAAGGTAGAAAAGACCCAGTCTCAGAAGTCTGTTCTCTGTAAAACCTGTGTCTTTGGGTAAGGAAGGGTTGGGTAAGGATGGCAAGAAGAGGAAGCAGTTGCACACATCTGTGTCAGCTTCAATTATGAACAAGTTCCACAAAACAACTGTAAAATTACAGTGTTTTGCTATTGCATACCTGAAGGAAAATAGGTTTGAAATTTCCTCCACAGCAAGGCAGAGGCTTGTGGTGTCTGTCTACTGAATTCATCAAGATATCAATATTTAGAATAATACCAATATTAACATTACAAAGTGTGGGTTTTTTCCCCAGGGGAAAAAGTATTTGCCATACAGAAGATGAGTATTTTGTCCTGCTTTTTTTCCCCCTCATCTTCAGTAGCTGTAATTCAAGAAAACAGATGGGGATCTCCACTATTCTTTGAGATATTTACCTTTTTAACACCAGTCCATCTAGAAAGTAAATTAGTCCCACGAAGTTATTCCATAGGCCAAGGCGTACACCTCACTCCCTCAGAAGGCACCCAGTGTTGGGAATGGGGAATAGGAGCAAAGGATGAATGAGAACACCACCCCCCTGGTAGCCTGTTCTCCTCCTTTCAGAAAGACAAAAGACATTTGCTTTACATTTTCCATTATATGGGGGGGGGGGGAAATAATTCTTGTACCTAACAGCTTGACTTTCCCTGGTATAAACCATCTGTGGCACTCACCAGTGTCAGCAAACAGATGGGGGAAAGCCTGAGGATAATGGAACCTTTAAAACCAGACACTTCCAGGTTAAAATATCCAGAGACAATTATATTGCTGAGATAATTATATTGCAGAGATAGATTTCAGAGATTTTTCTTTTCAGAGATTATAGATTTCAGAGGTGAAGAAAAAGTACTCCTTTTTTGGAGTAGCTGATTTTCCCCTAATTACACAGTCACTGGGCCAGCATGGCCATGCTCAGTAGCTTCTGCTCCTGGCCCAGAGAATCCCCTTACCACTCATGAGACATTAACCTCAGGGGCTTCTCACCCTACCCCAATACTCCAGCAACCAAACCTATCTACCACATAGATGTTTGTGGCCTTAACTACCTTAATCCCTACCCCTTGTAGGCCTTCTGCTCCAGAGTCATCACACAGAAGGCGATTTTTTCAAATATTTTTTTAAGGAAGGGAAAATCTTGTCTCCTGTGTTTATAGCGCAGCTAGATCAACACTTCCAAATATGAAATACATACTGTTACTATATGGCAAAGGACAAGGCTCAATCAATAGTTTTCCTTCAGTGGCTTCCATTTCTGTAATTTTTTTTTTTATTTTTGGGGTTTTTTTTTTTGGTAAGCTGAACAAATTGGTTGTGTAACAAAGCATACCTGAAATAGAAACCCACATCTATACTGGAAAAAGCTACACATCCCACCTCTCAAATGCCAACTAAAGTCATGACACCAGAGTCAGGACGCCCTTTAGCACTGCCTACACTCTTTTGGTGCAGTGTAATAAACGTAAGGGGGTGCTTGTGCTTTACCTGTTTCCTTCCTCCCCATGCAGTCTTCTTTGCTGTCACAAGCTCCCTTTCTCACGAGCCAGTTAACACTCTGCGTCAGTCAGTGGTTTAGAAATATTCCCCACAGTGGTTTCCAGCGAAACTTCTCACCTCCTTTCTCTCCTGGTTACCAGCACTACTGGCAGATTTTACTCTCGACACAAGGGAGGATGATGCAGAGGAGTGGAGTTGCCAGGGGAAGACCTACGACACGTCCTCGTTCGGGTTTGTGCTGCCCAAACTGCCCCCACTTTGTTATAGACAATTGTTCTGTGGAAAACACAACTCGAAGTCAGGTCATCTCCTACAAAAGTTAATGCTGTCGTGGGACCGTGGGCTTGCTGATAAAAGATCTTCATTTTCTCACCTCCCCAGCGTGGCTTAAAATAGAGCCCAGCGGGGAAGCTCCTGAAGGTGGGCTGGCAGAGCTTCTCCAGGCTGGGAGAACATGCACACCAGGACTTTGGGCTCCTTATTCAGTGTCCAAAGGTGCTGTGTGAAAAGCTGAGGCACAGCACTACAAAACAAATGACAGAAAGCAAAATAAAATTAAAAAAAAAAAAGTCAACTAGCACAGAGTGTGCAGAAGTGTCAGGAGGGGACACAGGAAGCCTCTCACTCCCCACCACAAGGACTTGGCTGCATATATTCATGACACAGGCCACAGCCTTCTTCCCACCCCCTGGCCTCAGGCCTGTACAGGCTATGGACATATGGCTATGTCCATGCATAGCTAAATAAAACACATATGAAACGTCTTAATTTGCTAAAAGTGTCTGTGCTGTGGCCACGTTGCTACCTGTACGTGTATTTTAAAAAATGAATGTATAGGTACAACATTATGCACACACTTGAAGAGCTGCTGCATTTAAGTGACAAGATATGCAGGGATGCTCAGCTGATGACGTTGCATCATCGATTACACACCGTTTTCCACATGGTTTATTGTCAGAGCTAGTTTATGACTTTCTGTAACGACACAGAGACCCTGGCTAAAGGATTTTAAAAATGCATTCACAGGCATACACCAGAAGCACCTTAGAACTATATAGGCTTCCAACAAGGCCCTTTGCACAGAGTGATTTTCCCGAGTAAGGTAAAAGGGTGAATTTTTCCTCACATAGAAGAAGACAAGCCGTGGACAACTGGGTACCTGCAACTGAACAACGAAGAAAACAACCTCATTTAAAGTCCAGCAGCTCAACCAGGGTTATGTACAGATGCTATGAAACTTCTCTAACCTAGCTTTGATGTGGTTAACAAGGGCACAGGGAACAGTGATCTCATTCTGCCCATAGGGGATCCTGGCTGAATGCACACCAGGACAGTCTGCTTGAAAATCCATTTTCACTGAAAAAGATACTTTCATCTGGAATATTTGGGCTAGCAGTTTGTAGTTCTTTATAGGTTCTAGAAATACGCATTTCATGATCTCCTCAAATGCCTTTTTCCTGTTCACACAATGCAGTTCTGAGACAACTACCAAAAGAATTTTGTTCTTTCCTGTGAAACAGGCAGATGGCATTGGCCTGGCAAAGAGCAGGAAATGGGCACTATAGGTTACTGAGCAGGTCCTGAGAGAAAACCCAGCTCTGGCTACACTGTTGTGGAGGACAAGGAGAGTTCATCCTGACTTGGGAAAGAGATTTTTATTTGGGAAAATCAGATTTTTCCAACCCCCACCTCGATGTAGGTCATTTGTTGCTGATTTTAGTTTTAGATTGACTGATTTTGCATTTTACTATGATTTTTCTCTGTGTGCTTTAACCATCTAGTAAGTAGCAAAGTGAGCTTTGCCAGTGAATTTTGTCGCACTTTCACTTTAATATTAAACCTGCTTCTGCTGATTCCTTTGCTGCTGATTCTTTGAGCAAGCTAAAACACTCATTCCTGACAGAAAATTAGCATTTTCTTATTACTGAAGGGCATTTACCTCACAGAATGCCTAGCCCTGACTGTGTGTCCTCCATAACCGTATGTACCTCTGTGACAACAGTTGTCCTTAATGGATAGGATGTGTGGGTATTTTGAGCTGGAATTTCCCTAGGTGTGTTCATGTCCCCAGTTACCATGGATATACACTGATTCTCCCTCCCTCAATGTGAAATGTCTCTCTGGTGTCTTATTACTTACAGACTTGCTGCAAGCACCTTGTATTTACGACCTTTCAGCTCGAGCACTCATTTTCACACGTAGTTGCAAAGCAAGCTATTTGGAAACAGCTTCTATGCTTATACATAGCACAGAATAAAGAACTCTGAAGAGTTAAAAATCTCTCTGAGCTCAAGAGAAGCGTCTCTTTAAAATTCCTGCTTCGTATTCTAGCGTCTCATGAAACCAGAAATTCTCTCTCCTTGGTCTCTCCTGAGCTATTCCTTATAGTTGCCAGGAGGTGGAAACATAGCTACACCGACCTGCAGGAGAAGCACCGTGTCGGTGTGCAATTGTGCAGCAACGCTGCCTCTGCTGAAGAATAGTGCTAAAAATATCTGCAGTCTGAATTGGCTCATTGGAGCCCAAAACATAGGATCACAGAACGCTCTTCCTGAGCCCTTCCAGGTCCCCCTTCCCCCAGCCAGCAAGAAATCTTAACGGCTTGTTACAGATGCCTTTCTAAGCAGCTGCTTCTGTCAGATGTGACATACACAATTATTCCAACAAGAATCCGAAATCAGGCTGGCTTTGACAGAAAAGCTCATGCAGCAGCAGCCATCGCAGCCCTTCAGAACTGAGCAGATATCTGGTAAAGTGATGAGGAGATAAATCTTCACTTGACTTATTTATTTAAAAGATATGTGTCTGCTTTGACATTCAAAAATGTTACAAACATGTCCAAGTATGAAAAACATGGCAGAGATCAGAAGTGCTCATCAGACAAGCTTTAGTTACCAATGAAACAGATACAGATGTCACAATCTTCCCTTTGTCATTTGGTGCCAAATTTTAAGTCCTGGGAGAGAAGTCCTTTGACAAAAGGCAAATTTATATAAATACTTGGAAAAGAGGAGAGGGACACAGCACTGCTAAAAGGCTGGAGACAAAATAACCTTTCAAAACATCTCAGAGTTAGGGTAAAACATCACAACTGATTTTGGTTTCTGTTTTCAGAACAGTGAGTTTGACACTGACTTCATTCCTTCTCCCCTGCCTTAAGCTCATACCAGTGAGAATATTTGCATCTTTCTCAGAGCAAACTGAAGAGCACAGAGAATGGACTAGAAAGATGTGAGGAGATGTTTAAGAAGAAAAAGGAACACAGGATATCCTTCTTTGCATAGAGAGCTGTAGAAGAAAGGAAAAACCTCCCTGAATGGGAGGCAGGTCCCAGGAATTACAGCTGGAAAGAAACCATCTCTTCATTTCAAAGAGCACAATGCTGAGAAATCTGTTGCCTCAATGAAGGCAAAACCTGGAAGAACTGACACTGATGTCAGAAAATTTCAATACTAGGATTAGAAAAGTCATGTAGAAATTATTCTTCTTTCCCTAGGAGGTAGATGGGGTTAACAGGTAAAATTAATAATCCCAATGAACCAGTACGAGGAAGTCCAGAAATAAATCCCCCAGAACTTTGAAGTGTCCATGAAACACCACGTGAACCCCAGACAAATCACGTGCAATGAAACGAAGTTGCTCTTACAGCATCTCAGGAACATCAGCTTGTTTCAGCAAAGCAGCTCAGACTTCACAGGGTCTTCACAGTCCTTGGGTGGGGAAAAAAAAAAAGACACACACATAAAGGAGGAAAAAAAAATTACTGGTGTTCAGGAGCAAAACCAAATTAAATTAATTGACCAGTCCAAATTAATAAAGCACAAGCTTGTTCAAAAAATTAGTAATGGAAGATCATATCTCAGAGTTTATACTGAGGCATCATCTGGCCAAGGAGGAAGATTTTCACACATCTAAATCAACTGACTGCTCAGAGGCTCGGTATTTAATTTGCAAGATACCTTATGTCAAATTAGCACACGACTCCACATTCCCCTAGGGCCATACAGGAGGCACCTGAAGTCCATGAAACAATGTTCCTGGGCTCATTCAGTGCTCTCTGTTTTGGCACAACTAAGAACAGGACAGTGAGCCAGGCAACTCTGTGGATGTTGGCTGGAATCCAGCTCAGCTGCACCTTCCGCAGAATCCCTCAAAACTAACACCAGTGCAAGTTAGTTGGGATCACTTCACCTTCCTGCCTGGGGAGTTTGACCCTGTTAACCTCTATGGGATTATTACAAGGGGAAAGGGGTGTCATTAGATATGAGGCCCATGCCAGAAATCCACCCAAGTAACTTGTAATTGCATAAAATCAATCATAAAACCTATTCTCAGCAAAAATATAAATGCATATATTCTTACCTTTGACACACACAATTATCCAGGATATTGTAACCACAGCCCACATTTTCTCCAGCCCAGAATCCACCCTTAGAGCGTTGTTCTCTTCCAGGTCAACCTCTGTCCTCTCTGTGGAATTGACAATGTTCACACCTGGTATAATGATGACCAACATGCAAATAAAGGTCTGCAGAACTGCATCTTTCCTCACATAAAAATTGCTGCCAAAAGGTATAATTTTTATTTCATTTTTTAGTCAAAATATTTCAGAGAAAAAGAAGGCAAAAAATTACTGCAATCCCTACATTTTAACAAAGCTGGGGAACAGCTTGGAGGGAATATGAACTGGTTTCCCAGCCTAGCCCAGATCAGAAGCAACCCACAAAGCTCTAGGAGCTCACCACCTTGGCTAATGAGGCCAAATAGATATTCCCTTCTTCTGGAGGCGTGGAGCTGAAGTCACTTGGCACAAGTGGAGGGTACCACACCATATGATCAGTTAAGACCCACACAGAAATGATTGCACAGGGGCACTGCCACTGTGTGTTTCAGCCTTCTCAGTCTTTCTGCACAGTATTTTTTCTATTCTAAGCAACGAAGCAAGAGAATAAAAGTCGCCTCAATAAGAACAAAGTAATTCACAGTGGTGGCTGCTGTATTTCAAGTCCCATTCCCCCTAAGCACCAATCCTCCCTGAGGTCTGTGTATGCTGCAGTGAATTCAGGAGGCA